AACACTTGAATAAATATAAATAGAGCTGTCGGACAATACGGAGGAAGTCAGCTGGAAGAGAACTTAACACCAGAAACCAAAGCATAAAGATCCGAGGTTTATTAATATGTATGAGCATGTGAGCGCGGAAACGAGAATTGTATTAAATCCAAATAAAATGTCGCCGCGTCCTCTCACGGTTATTAATTTCGATTTTCCGTAAGTTGGTCCGGCTCGCAGAAAGCTCAAGTCTTCCGCAAAATCAGCCTTCTTCTAATTGATTGTCAGGGATTAACGTCTTACTTCCTGATGGTGAAAGATGTGAATGTCGACATTTTACAAAAGGGACGATTGCAGGAATGTTGCAAGAGGTTGAACTTTTCTGTATTACTAGCTTACAGTAAGGTACTTTAATGACCAGTAGGGCTTTTTCTAAGTTGACATATTTGATTCTCAAGTTATTTTTGGTTTATAAAAAGCGGTTAGAGTAGTCAGGACGGAAACACTTACGCACACGCAGATATATATGTGCGTGTTCGATCGGAAGCTGGAATCAGCATAATTAAAAACAGACAAAAAGATATAACCCGAAGCGGATGCACCTACATCATAGACCTAGGCTGCTTATCTTTCTACCCCTCCTTCTACCCTCCCCCCCCCCCTCAACCCGTCCCTTATCCAATCGCCAGCCGTTTTTCTCCGTGAAACTTGTCACGCTCAGGCCATTATTCATCCCCGGAATCCTCCTCTGTTGCCTTGAGAGGGAAATCACATCTCTGCGGCAGCTAATATTCCCCGTATAGAGCATCGCGGCGAGCAATCCAACTGGCCATTCTTACTGATTAGGCCGATTCACACGCGCCACACACAGGCACGCTTATGAATATATGAATATATCAATGTATATATGTATGCATGTATGTGTATATTATATATATATATATATATATATATATATATATATATATATATATATATATATATATATATATATAATATATATATGTGTGTGTGTGTGTGTGTGTGTGTGTGTGTGTGTGTGTGTGTGTGTGTGTGTTGTGTGTGTGTGCGTGTGTGTGTGTAGCTATATAATTTGTGCATGCGCGTGCTTACATCAATAAACAAGTAATAAAGATTAACACAGCTTTGCCTATTACTATTAGCATACATCTGTACATAGGTATGGAGCATCTGTATTCTAGAGCGTATGTATGTGTCTATTTTTCGGTAAGATTATGTGTAAGTATCTATCATTACGTGAACTTATATTTATTTAGCTCTCTGTTAATGTATAACACATATGCAAGTTCTTCTGTGTAAACCTATACTCATCTGCATGCTCATCGTCCCATCAGCATATCCATTATCCTATTCAGTCGGACTCAATCTTTCCTTTTCCTTTCTCCTCGTCTCTTCACTTTTCTAAGAACTCTCTCGCCACTTCATTAACGGGAACAACAAAGCCTATGATAATGCTATAGTCACCGTTATCACACAAGTCGATCAATATCTATTCCGTGTCTATATTTAGTCGCCGCGTTTCCTTGGCGTCTCCCATAACAATGGACTTTTTGACAATCCGAGCGGTATGTACGTCTTTGATCGCTGTGTACGTTTTATTTCTTTCTTTTTTTCTGGTGATGACTCAAAAGTCGAAATGAAAGTCATCGTGGGCAATGAAGTGGCGTAAATGATTATGCTTTGCAAATAGATTTATATCTGTACGTTTAGCTCTGTGGTTATAGATGTTTATATGTTTGACCGACCGATTTTTTTTTATGTATAATGGTCTCCCTAAAGGTGATTGGTAAGACACAAAATACTATTATGAAAAATTTAGCAACTAAGTCTTTACTCTGATTCTGTCATTTTGATATCATATATATGTAAAGGCGAGATAATTCATTCAGTATCTAAAACAATGAGTATCTTATGTCTAAGTAAATGATTTTGATAATTTGAATTTCTTATATTGATATTTTTAGTGTGCATGTGTATTATCAAGGCAGTGAAAAATTAATTATCTAATTGTGCTCTATAAGTATCTAAATGACCTTATCATTTTTGAAAGCCATAAGGTAATAACTACACTAACTGCTCTTATCAACCGTTACGTCTTTTGTTGTAATGATCACCAAGTTTTGCAATAAAATCCCTATTGTTGCAGATCCCATTAACATCACCACAGTTATCAATGGGAGAAGATGACAAAAAAAAAATAGATATCGCACACTGTACAATCATTACTCTCATTATCATCGTCGTCATCATCGCCGGAGTCACCTTCACCCATTTCCGATCTCGCGAGTGGTGCGGGCGGCCGGCAATCATGCTGGCTTTGTTCGGCGCCCGCTCGCTCTGCCCTCCGGCGCCCGCTGCTGTTGCGGCTGATGCACCTTGCCTGCTCTCGCTCGCGCACACACATGCACACTCGCACGGACACGCACATGTACACGCGCACTCACACACTCATGCAAACACACACACACACACATCTCATACTCGTACTGATTTGGTATAC